GGGGTGGTATAGGGGGTATTGGGTGGGGTAATGAGGGTGTTGGGGGCGGTTTGGGGGTGTTGGGGGGGTATATTGGGGTAATGAGGGCTGCTATGGGGGTGTTGCTGGGGTTATTAGGGGCTCTGGACCCGATTTTTTTTTGCGGGGTGCCGACAACCCCCGACCTGTAGGTGCCGACCAGTCAAGGGCCGCAGACCGTCGGGGCTTGCAACACTGCCTTAGGTTGCGATCATGAAAAACAAAGGATGGACGGGTATGCCAACGGTTCATCTGAATATTAGCACGCACGAGAAATCCCTAAAGAGTGAGACTTGTAATTCACCACCCGGCCTTGGCGGTTGTGCGGTCAGCATGCCTTTGCTGCAGGCGTATGAACCTTCTACAGATCTGCGCTCATATACAGGACTTTACTAGGCCAACGGTGCAGAGTCTGCAGAGTCTGCAGACTCCAATTGTGTCCTTCTACAGCTCTCTCTTAGTTCACAAAGTAGTGGATGAGAGGTTCAGAGATTGGTTGTCCAAATACAGCTCTCTGTTCAGATGGACTAGAAGGGTGCAGCGATGAGCAGGCATACCTGCTCTCAAAATGAACACACGAACAGCTCCGTGAGGAGTGATGACGAGCACAGTATGTTCAACGTCTTTTTTTCTTTTTTTTTTATGTCCATTTGTGATGACCCGACTAAACACGGACTGAGACACACAGTTGATTTCTGAGTTTTGCTCATGGACTGAATGCCTTGCTGAGTTTCCCGCTTGCTACTAAGTTCTGCATGTCTGTGTGTGCACGCTTGCTGGTCTCCATGACTGTCTGAGTGCTGGTTGGCTTGAGTGGGTGTGTGACCCGCAAGGGCACTTGTTCGTTCCTTGGGCCCTCAGGGCTGGTACTTACCTGTGGCCGTGACATTGAGGTCTGCAGCGGGGGAAAACACTCAAGTGGCGGGGGAAGAGGGCCGCAACACTTGAAGCAGCGGGGAAACACTCGAGTAGCGGGGAAACACTCGAGAAGCAGCGGGGGAAGTCCACTAACACCCTGCATAACTACAGAAAGATACTACTAAAGTGGTGTATTGAGCATGGGGCTTGTCTGTCAAAGACTTCACCGGTCTATCCTTCCCGTGCTAACCTTTGCGGTCCTACCCTCAAAAGTCTATCTGTTTGCAGTTGAATGTCCCTCCAGCCCTCAGACGATGACATGACCACACAGTGTTAGCATACACATACATATATAGACAGAATCTTTCAGAGAATCACACACAAGGACTTACACTCAGAAAAGAAACACCAAAAAAAAGGTCGGACCAAATTGCAGAAAAAAAAACTCCGAAAAATTCGGCGAAAATGGTACTTCTCTGACATCTCAGCAATTATTACGCTGAAATCTCTCCCCTCTCCCCCCTCGCACACACACACTTTCGTTTTCCTCTTTCCCTGTTCCCCCCTCTCACATGAAATCCATCAACCAGAACACCCCCCACCCACCCACTGAAACTCCATCTCCCTCCACGTTTAAATGCCATGGACAGCTTGACAGGAAAAGCACCTTAGCATCCACTAGTACAGAACTGCGCCGTCCCATAGCACTCTGCAAGTTCAAACTGCTGCTTGGGTGCCATCTCAAAGTATGCCCAGTCTTCCAACTGGATCTGATCTGACCGACTGGGTTCTCATTTGCCACAATTCTCCTCGTGGACTTGTGCAGCCTCAAACCGCAATCCGCAAGCGATGCAACAAATTGGCATTTGCATTGCGGCACAGCCGCCGTCGATCCAGCACTCCTCTCTGCCACAGGTCAATGAGACACGCCCCCGAGCAAGGACACATTAATTTCATGGAGCAGGGGTTGAAGTCACCCTCAACTTATCATTGATGGTTGTTTACATGTAACCATCCCTTTTCAGGAAAGCTGCTACAAGCACAATCAGAAGCGTCCAATAATTTTTTTGCTCCGAGGGAAAAGAATGCACTTTGTGTGTCCTCTCATGCACGGCGCACCATAACCAAGTAGTTGCTTCGCCAATGACGGATTTCATGCAACAAAATGAATCAAAGAACTAAACACGTTTCCAATACCTACAGCGGCTCCAGCTAATGCAATTGTTGCACACAGGCCGCTCCAATTAATTTTGCACCTTCTAACATAGCCATCTTCTTTTTGTTTGTATCAAGACAAAAATGGCCATTTATCGTTGATTACCCAAATCGCCGATTTTGCCAAAATGAATCCGGCAACTGAGTTGAAAAGAGAGAGGAGAGATCAAACAACAGTTACAAAACTCAACAAAGAGCCATTGCCCCTCAAAGTTCCCCTGCAAAGTGTTGTCGTCACGTAGGTTCTTGTCCCGCAACACTTAATCTGCCTTCGAGTTTGAAAAGGAGTTAGGAAATGACTCATTTTCCCGCGAGGTAATTAGGGCGAGGTTAGGGTGCTACCACGAGGTTAGGGTGCTTCCACAGCACCCTAACCTCACCCAAATTACGTCGTGGTGTTTCCAGGGCAAGCACCATGAAAGAGACCAGCTTTCGCGATCCTTGAACTCGAGGAAGCTGCTAAGCTGTACTTCAAACTTTAGACCATAAAAAAAAAGAATTTTTCCATAAGCGTATCAAAGGAGATTAAGAAATGGCCGCCTTGCGGTTCAATCTCTTCCTTTGACTTTCTTCAGTAGATTCATGGGTGGCAACTTCAAGGGTGATTTCAAGGTCTGTAAAGAACAAAAAAAAAGGAACAGGGTGCTTTAAGTATGCTTGCCTTCCAAGGGTCGCCCTTGAATGTCAAGACTTTTCAAGTAGTTTGGAAAGGACATACTTGCGTGTGGTGACCATGCTAGGGAACTGGGGTGTTTCGACATGTGCCTTTGGGTGAGTGTGTGTCCGTGTGTCTTGTCATATTCGCTATACACGGCTCCACGAAGAAAGCATGACTCTGCCAGACTGTTTCGTCGGACTTCCACTGTCTCATTAGGAGGGGTGTGTGTGTGTGTGTGTGTGCGTGCGTGTGTGTGTGTGTGTGTGTGTGTGTGTGTGTGTGTGTGTGTGTGTGTGTGTGTGTATCCTTGTATCTATAGACTGGATGTGTCTTTTGGTTGCAATGGGGTTTTTATCTCTAGTTCCTAATCCAATAGATGGAGACCCCATAACAAGGAAGAGTGGTATAGACACGGGGTACTTCCCCTGTGGTGGGGGGTTAATCTATTGTTGCTAATACAACAGATGGAGACCCCACAAGAAGGAAGACAGGTAGAGAACCAGGGTACTCCCCCTGTATCATGCCTATAGACAAAGAAGGGAGAAGAAGTAAGAATACAAGAGGAAGAAGAAGATGAATATCAGCAAAGACCAATGTGAGTCCCCCTTCATCTCGCCACCATCTCCAACCTCCTTTACTCCCCCAACTTCTTCTTTACAATAATAATAATAATAACAACAATGAAAGAATGAACCAGAATCAATGTCTGAATGCTCTCCTTACTGCCAGTCAACCAAGAGGTCCACCATAGCCATCTCATACACCTTCCTCTTCCTTAGTCAAGTAGGTGGCTATGGCGGACTAACGGAGCGGAGCTCTGATGTTCAAAAGACGACACAAAGCTGATTTGTCCCTCCTACTGTGGCCACCATGCCTACCACTACCGTGCCGTCTTCCTTCTAGTAACCAACCCCAACTGGGGTCTTCCCAGTGCAGCCCAGCCCCGCCACTCTCCTCCTTACTCACCGTCTTCCTCCAGAGTCTCCTCCTTGGTCTTCTCCATCATAGTTGAAGTGGAGGGCCAAGCCTGCCTTCTTTCCCCCCAGCGCTCCTCAAACTGAGTGCGCGCTCCTCCAGTGTGATGCCCAACTCCACACTGCGAAATGAGAGGAGCTCTTCGCTCTTCCTTTGATATACCAGAGTACTGCCTTTTTCCAGCGGTGACTTTCCAGGCCGCGTGGCCTCCCCAAGCTACCAGTACCTTCCCCGATTCGGAGGGAAACATCATTGCAGTCTGATATCCCCTCCTGCAGACTCAAGACTCAGGTTACTTGGATCAGTAGCTTCCGTTCTAAGTTTACCAGACTCTAAATTCACTTCGGCATCTAAAGGTGCTAACTTTTTGTCTTCTTCTACCTACCTCCCCGCTACTTGAGTGTTTTTCAACCCATGCGGGCCTAGCCTACTTCTACATCCCGTTGCACCCACACAAAACCACGGCCACAGTAAGTACCAGGCCCAGGCCCCTTCTGAGCACACAAGTACCCTGGTGGGTCACACACACACCCAAGCAATCATGCAGTCACGCAAACACACGGGAAATCGGCAATCATGCACACGAGTACTTGGAAATCTCAGCAGAATATAAGAATCTCAGCAAGTCACTCGTTCCAGCGGCAAAACTTAGAAAACAGCAGAGTTCTCAGTTTGTGATTTTGTAGGTCATTACATTAAACCCCCCCTCAAGAGTGAGGTCCCTTCGACTCTTCGAGTAAGTAGAACCTTTAGAGTCCCCACAAAATGCCTTGCAGGCCGTAAATGCAAAGAGTGTTGTTGTCTGATCAAAAGCAGTGCGGCGATCAGTGAAAGTTGTTGTCTGGTCAGAAAGTAATATGACGTTCATGCGCATAAACTACACCGGGTGAAGTCTTGAGTAGAACTTTCCGCGATATCCAATACAGTTCATCTAACGGATGATGAAGAAAATGAAGCTTGGAATGTTTGTCCTTTACATTGCCTTTGTGCTCAACACTTCTGTCAATTTTGCACGATGTCCAACACTTTGTGACCGCCATCAATATCACGAGAGATCATAGGTTCGCGATCAGGGAAGGAAGTAGCAACAGTATACGGATAGAGTTCAGAAGCATGAAAGACTAGGTACGTGTGTAGACCGAAATCATCATCTCCCGCAACTTTCATAATTCGCCAAGGGTCGTAGAACATTTGGAGTAGTTTATGGGACACTCCCTCCTCATCCGAAAACTCAGACACCTTCACCCAAACATAACCTCCTTCTTTAAAGGTCGCAGGTCTGCAGCGCCAATTGTCAAACTTGACCATGATATCTTGACGCTCGTTTATTGTTGCGATGACAACCTTGAGCAAGCGCTGATATTTCGCCCATAACCAGGCATGTTGGGAGTCAAACCGGGTGATCGATAAGGAAGCAAGAAAGAAAGAGGTTTGCAGATCTGCCATCCGTACTGCAGCTTGCTCGGCGGCATACCAGAGGCAGAATGAATGAGGTTGTTATACAACCCTTTCACCGCATCCAACTCTTCATCCCATATGTTCTCATAATGAATGATTAATGCAGGTAGGGGTTGGGTGACAATCTAGTTGATCTCTTCAGCCTATCCATTGCCTTCCGGATGACGACCAAGAAAACTTAGCTTAATCCCATAGAGTTGACTAGTGAAATCCTTCCAATCTGAACTGATAAAACGAGTGGCCTGATTCGAGGGACAAAGCGGTCGATGATCACCATGACTTAAGAATTCCCCCTCCTACTTACCCTTTCCATATTTGTGAAGTCAATAGAAACTGATTCAGGGTCCGGAAGGGATGGGTAGGGGTTTCAGCAAGCCAAGAGGTGGATCTTAGTCCGCTGACAGACTTAGTCTTGCACAAACTTATGTTCATATTCCTTCACATACGGGCAGTCAAATGTTGCACAAAACTTCCATATAAAAAAAATAGGTTCGCTCCGACCATGTGCCATATCGAAAAAACAGGTTCGGAGAGGCGCATGGTTTAGAACCATATCCAAAAATAGGTTCGGAGAGGCGCATGGTTTTATAACACACAATCTGTTGGACTTCCCATACGTGCGAAACAACAAACCCTCACACTCGCGGTGATCAGGCTGACTACTGGGGTCAAACTGAGATGCTCAAGGATTGGACTGTGGTTCGGATCCTTGGCAGTGTGTTCTACTAACTCCTCCTTCATGTTCCTCCAGAGTAGAAGCGCACAAGGCAAGTCGCATACTCGGGGTGGCGAGACAAAGCATTAGCAACTCGGTTGGAACAATCTTTCATATGTTTGAGCTTAAAAGTTATAGACATCAATCTCATGCAAGCAGCGGGACAACATTTTGGAAAAGGGACTTGATTCACTGCAGGGTCTTATGATATGAGAAAACCTTGCGTGGTGTCCCAAGAGTTTATGATTTGAATGCTCCAATGCCTCTCTCAAGGCATAGAGCTCCCGCGTATATTTGGAGCTAGCTACCTTACTGTTGGGCATGTGTTTGCTGTAGGTACTCCAGTGGAAACAGTCCATCGCCTTCATCTTGTTGCAGCACTGCGTGAATCCCATATTGTCTCGCATCCGTAGTAACTACGAATGACATTGTGAGTTTGGGATCTGCAATGTGGAGCACAGAATGACTCACTAAAGCCTTTTTCAAGGACTCGAAGACAGTCTCACATTCATCACTCCAAGTATAAGATACGTTCGCACTTGTTAGTCTAGATAAGGGGTGGGCAATGATAGAAAACTTGGGACAAGGAAAGACCTCAGTTCACGTACGTTCACCGGTCGAGGCCAATTACGAATGAGCTCAACCTTGGTTGTCTCAGGCTCAAGGCCTGCAGCAAACAACCGGTGCCCAAGATAGACGGCACTATCCCTCCCAAACTCAGATTTCTTCAGGTGTAATTGGGGCCTCCTTCAAAATTCCAAGGACTTCCTAGATGTTTTAGGTGTTCATCCATGCTCTTGCAGAAAATTTGAACGTCAACTTTGAAAAGATAGACAATTACAAATCTGTTGATATGATTTCTAAAAACATGGTTTCCGAGACTTCGAAAAGTGTCAGGCAAATTCGTGAGATCAAAGGGCATGCCGATGAACTAGTACAGTCCATCACGAGTTGTAAACGCAGTTTTGTGCTGGTCGGCCGGATCAATGTCAATCTGACGGTAACCAGATTTGAGGTCCATCTTGGAGAAACCCTTGCACCCACCTGCAGCATCTAACAGGTCATCAAATTCTATGTGCTAGAGGATGGGCATTCTTTTTTGCGATTCGGTATAGTCCTCTACTGTAACAGTCAATGTTGTTCACAATTTCGTGTAGTTTCCTTTGTATCCCCAGGATGTTTGGATGCTGTTCACAATTTCAGTAAGCTTCCTCTGTACACCATCATGATGGAGACCGTGTAAACAAAGCAGGTGTGTCCGGAAGGGATGGGGCATACCATACCATACCATACCATACCATTGGACGCATGGGTCTCGCTTGACTAATTTGGCTTTTGCAGTTCGGCAGCAGACTTCCAATCTTTCAGCTCCTTGCTTTTGTTTATTCTTTTTCTTTGTGGGGCGGGCTGAATCTCAACGTCATAGGGCATTCTGCAGTTCTACCTACGGCAGGTTGTAAAGTCGGATTTGTGTACATCTCAGGCGGACTGTGATCTAATCTATCCCCTCGTTTCTAAATGGGAGGGTAATCAGTCACTCTCTGAATGCAGGTTTGAGGCGTTAGTACGTACACGTCAGCCATCCTAGATGCGCCCAGGTGCACACACTATCCCATGAGCTACTATCCAAAGCTCGATAATCCATCCCCCTCAACAATTGCCCCTCTCTCTCTCTCTCTCACACACACACACACACACGCGCGCGCGTGCACACACATAGAGAGAGCGAGAGAGTGAGAGGGAGAGAGAAAAGGAGTCCCTGCGCACACGGAGAGAGAGAGAGAGAGAGAGAGAGAGAGAGAGAGAGAGAGAGAGAGAGAGAGAGAGTACAAGGGTTTCTATCTCTACCGCTCTCTGCCCAACTCCGCTCTCCTCCATGCACCTTCTTACCTCTCCCTCCCTCTCTCTTTCTCTCTCTACTATGCGCAGGACCCCCGAGGACCGGCAGACAGACCTACACACGCAGATGCACAGATCATGTGGACGTGCGAACAACGCCAATTATTCGCGCACGTGGTTACATGTACAAGATATCGCATCGTTAATGCGTTCTTCTTCAAGGCATATACCCCTATTACCATTTTTTTTTCTTAACCAATAGTGCAGAAACAGGTCTTTTTACCCTGCTTGGGTTGATACCAATTACATTTGGAAAGAAAAATTAGGCCGCAGAAACATGTCATGTTTTTTTTTTTTTTTTTTTTTT